CTGTTCCCCCTCTGTGCCTTCTGGGGGACAAGCCAGCCCTGTGGCCGCCCCCCTCCCCTAATGCTGCTCTCCCCCTGGTAGGGCTCCAAGGGTGACAGAGGCTTGCCTGGCCCTAAGGGCGAGAAGGTGGGTGCTGCCCTGAAGGGGCTGGTGGGAGGGGGCCATGGGGCCCCTGGTCTCCTCAGCTTCCTGCCCATGGTGGGTTGATTCCGGCTGCAGTGGCTCCCTCTGCATATCATCTCCCAACTCTGCTTTTTGCTTGTTTTCCCCTGCCAGGGAGAGCCAGGAAGATATGGGGAGCCAGGAGACCCTGGGGAAGATGTGAGTAAGAGGCACATGGGGGCCAGGGTGTGGATGCTGGGGACAGGAGATGCTGTTAGGGGGAAGGACCTGTGCCCTTGCCACCCACCACCCAGCCCTTCCTTCTGGCTTGCTGTCTCTACAGGGAGCCAAGGGATCCCCTGGAGCCAAAGGGGAGAAGGTAAGTGTCCCCTGGTCCCAGGGGTGCTCTTCAGCCCTGTGAGGCTGCTCTGGGTGGCACAGTGCCCCCTGCACCCCCGTGCCTGCCAGCCAGGGGACACGCTGTGTGCTCTACCACTACACAGGGATCAGCAGGTGTTGGTGTGCAGGGACCCCCAGGACAGAACGGACCTCCAGGCTTGAAGGTAACCCCCGTCCCTGTGTCATCCTGACTCTCACTGTGTCCCCAGTGCCTGGGGTGCTGCCCTGGCTTGGCTGTGTGAGGGGGGAGCATGCCTCTGGTGCCTCCTGGGCACCATCTTCTTTCTTCCTGCTTCAGGGTGACACTGGCTTGCCAGGACCACCAGGACCCCCAGGCTTAGCAGGCATTGCTGGGACACCAGGACAGCCTGGTCTGAGAGGGGACAATGGACAGCCTGGCCCTCCAGGTCCCCCAGGAGAGAGGGTAAAAGCTACAGCCAGTGCTTGTCTATGCTGGTCTGAGTGAACCCAGACCTTCAGGCAGTGCCAGCAAGGTCCCTGTGAGCCCCACCAACTCCTAGATGAGATCCCTGCCTGCTCACCAGTATTTCTTTGCCAGGGTTTGATTGGATTTCCTGGGAGAGATGGCACCTCTGGAGCACCAGGACCTGCAGGGCCCCCGGGGCCAGCTGTGAGTATGGGGCTCTGATGCTGCAGCTTTCCCAGGGGTGCAGGCTCTGCCCTGGCTCCCCCACTGGATCAGGCAGGGTGATGGGGACCCATCCTGCACCTTCCCAGCCCCAGCCTCTGAGGCTGAGCATTGCTGGGGGCTCCACAGGAGCTGCTGTGGGAGCCCCAGGGGTGCTTTGCAGGACACCTGGCATCACCTGAGGCTCACTCACCCCTCTCCTTTCTTTTAGGGCATACAGGGGGCCTCTGGCCTGAAGGGTGACAAGGTAGGATGAGGGCAGCCCTATAGTGTGAGGGACATGGGGCCACTTCCCTCATGGGGTGTCCCTGCTGCAGCCACCCCTAGGGTGATGCTGAAACCACTCTAGGTGGTGGCACATGGGATCCTGGGTACCCGGGGTGGTGTGGGGGTCTGTGGGGTGTCCCCTGTCCTGACAGAGGACATGGCATGGCGGGGAGGAGCAGCGGGCAGCCAGGACAGGGACAAGCTCTTGCCTTCCCCTGGCAGGGTGCCCCAGGGGCTGGGCTGCCAGGAGCCAGAGGTGAGCGTGGAGACCCGGGCCCACGGGTAGGTACTGCCATGGCTCCCCGTGTGCCCCCCCAGGGACCCCTGTGTCCCCACAGCAGCCTCCTGTGTCCCCACCACCGGGAGGAGAAATCCCACGGTGCCAGCCCTGATGGGACAGGGAGCCAGCGCCACACCTGTCCCCTGGATGGGGTGACACTGGGGGTGCCCCCATCCCTGACCTCCTTTTCCCGTTTCTTTCTCCCTGCAGGGTGAAGATGGGCGCCCAGGGCCAGGAGGGGATCGTGGGCCGGCGGTAAATACCCCCCTCCCCAGCGGCAGCCCCAGCTGGGTCCCTCCCTGACCACACCTCTTCTGTCCCACAGGGTTTGCCTGGGAACCGGGGAGAGCGTGGGGACAAGGTAAGGGACCTGGGGGCTGGGAAGACTGGAGGGGTGAACCATGCACTGCCTGGTATTGAGGTCCCCAGGGACTGGGATCTCCAGGGAGGTGCTGCCCACTCCTGCTGTGCATTCTTGCAACATTTCACCATCTCCCCTTCTTCTTAGGGAGACGTCGGGGCTCCAGGGCCCAAAGGAGACAAGGTGAGTCCCCCAGGGTGGTGGGCAGTGGGAGGGAAGGCAGCAGCACCAACCCCCCCTGCTAACCCCCCATCCCTTCCTCTGGGTGTGCAGGGTGATGCCACAGTGGTGGAAGGTCCTGCTGGAGCACGGGGCACCAAGGG